CATGGTTTTCTCTAGCAACACAGCCATGAGCCTGAGCTGGGTGCTGAGACAGCCCTTCGCCTCATCCGCTCTTGGTCCCTGGGATGTTCCCTGGGCTGAGGGGAGATGCCCGGGGAGTGGACGGGCCCAGGCCTCCCCACGGAAGGACATCCTCCCAGTCGCCGTCTTCTGCGGTGGAGCATGCAGACACCCGGGCTCCGGCTTGGAAGGCACGGTGGCCCAACACCCTCATTTCCCACACCAACAGCAGGTTCCTCGGGGAGGTGACTGAAGGAGCTGTCACCGTCTGGAGGGCTCGGGCTCAGAACGAAGCTCGTTAAAGCCTCGTTCTGGTTCTGCCACTCCTCAGACATTAAGCTGGCCAACCCCAGGCTGGTTGCCTAACTTTGATTCTCTGTTTCCTCCTCCTCTGAATGAGGCGACGATTACCTACTTTACATTGTGGGCTTTCAAAGGAGCTAATGATGCTGGATTGGAACGTGACAGTCGTCTCCCTGGTACATGTTCACACTGGTCTGTGATCGGTACGAGAGGGGTCAGCAGAGAGACGAGAGGGCGGGAGGCCACCAGGCCCACCCTGGGGCAGTGGTCACATGGCGGCCGAGAACGCAGGGGTGGCATCTCCTAACTGGAGGGAATTAGGAGCCAGCTCAGTTCCCAAGGACTTAGTTCCAAGGACTAAGGAAGATTTGAGATTTGACTTGAGCTCCCGCCTGTGCCTCTGGGGAAACAGCTGCTTCAGTTAAACTGCTCTGGCCCGGGAAGGGCTGGGCTGAGGCCCAGGGAATCGAGTGCTCTTACGGGGGGAAAAAAAAATCCTTAGGAGTTCATTGACTTTGTCATTCAGGTTTAACTTTTGGCGATTTCTCTTGCTTTTACTCGTCTACTTATTTTTGAGAAGGGAGCAGGGATGAAGAAACTGCTTTTATACAATTGAGGGCGGAAGGGTTTGAACTAGAATCTGGAGTCGTTCTTTTCAACTCTGAGGCCTCCAAGTGGGTGCAGTGGGGTGAGCCTCCGCAGTTATTTATGATGGTGGTGGGCCCCAGTTTGGCCTGGCGGGCAGTCCCTTGGAAAGCAGAGGTGGCAGGAAGCCCACCCGGGGCTCTGTAGCTGACCCCACCCTGGGAGGGAGAGACAGAGAGCGTGATTTAGACGTGCTCGCAGGGCTAAGAGTGAAGTGGACGGTGCAGGCGCTGAACACAGCTCGGCGGGCTAGCGCCTACTGTCAGCGGGGAAGCCATTGCCGTGCAAAGTTAAGCGTTTTGCTGACTTCAGAAAACAATCGAGTCCAAGTCCCAGACACAGAAAGTGGTGGCCAGGGCTGGGAAGGAAGGGGAAGTGGGTCTGAACTTTCAGTTTGGGAGACGAGAGGTTCTGGAGATCGGTTGTACGGACAGCATGAATGTGGTTAAGGCCACCGAACTGTACGATGGCAGATTGTGTGTTGTGTATCTTCCCACCATTTAAAAAAAATTTCTAAAAACACTCAAAGCGTTTGGGCAGCGAGCAGTTGGGACATAGCCTTCAGCTTTGTGACATGTCCTTTGTCCAGAGATCAGTCCCAACGCCGTGATGTTCCCAGCGGCAGTGGTAACCGTGGCACCCAAACCCAGGCAGCCTGCGACAGTGTCTTTCCTGGGATCCTGAGAAGTGAGTTCCTGGCTCCAGGCCCACAGGCACTGAAATCCTGTGTTTCTGCCCCGTTGCTGCTCTGAGATGTCTGGAGGTGGTGCGACTTCCTGCAATGTGGGATCCCCTCCTGGCACCCCCCTCACAGGCCGGGCAGTCGCCCAGAGGAGGAGTGAGCGGTGTGAGGAGCTCGGACCTCTGCCTGTCCACCGTCCTCTCTTGTTGGCAAACGGGGCCCGGGTCGTGTCTGCTCGTCCCACAATGGCCGTCGGACGATCCAAACTGGGCTTTGCAGAGCGGCTGTTGGGAAGCCATAGGCTTCTGAGCCAGCTCTTTCTTCTTTCTTTTTAAATATATTTTTATTGATTTCAGAGAGGAAGGGAGAAGGAGAGAGATAGGAACATCAATGATGAGAGAGAATCGTTGAGTGGCTGCCTCCTGCACCGCCCCCCCACCGAGGATCTAGCTCACAACCTGGGCATGTGCCCTGACCGGGAATTGAAACATGACCTCCTGGTTCATAGGTCAGCCCTCAATCACTGAGCCACACCGGCCGAATCCTTTGGCTTCTTAATATACCTGTGATGTATTCAGGTTCTTCCTCTACCCTGGCCTACATTATTAGGTGACTCAGCAAACTTGTACAGAGCCGGGGCCACCCTCGGGGCAGCCAGGTCCAAACAGGTGTGGCGCAACGGCATGGTTTTCTCTAGCAACACAGCCATGAGCCTGAGCTGGGTGCTGAGACAGCCCTTCGCCTCATCCGCTCTTGGTCCCTGGGATGTTCCCTGGGCTGAGGGGAGATGCCCGGGGAGTGGACGGGCCCAGGCCTCCCCACGGAAGGACATCCTCCCAGTCGCCGTCTTCTGCGGTGGAGCATGCAGACACCCGGGCTCCGGCTTGGAAGGCACGGTGGCCCAACACCCTCATTTCCCACACCAACAGCAGGTTCCTCGGGGAGGTGACTGAAGGAGCTGTCACCGTCTGGAGGGCTCGGGCTCAGAACGAAGCTCGTTAAAGCCTCGTTCTGGTTCTGCCACTCCTCAGACATTAAGCTGGCCAACCCCAGGCTGGTTGCCTAACTTTGATTCTCTGTTTCCTCCTCCTCTGAATGAGGCGACGATTACCTACTTTACATTGTGGGCTTTCAAAGGAGCTAATGATGCTGGATTGGAACGTGACAGTCGTCTCCCTGGTACATGTTCACACTGGTCTGTGATCGGTACGAGAGGGGTCAGCAGAGAGACGAGAGGGCGGGAGGCCACCAGGCCCACCCTGGGGCAGTGGCCACATGGCGGCCGAGAACGCAGGGGTGGCATCTCCTAACTGGAGGGAATTAGGAGCCAGCTCAGTTCCCAAGGACTTAGTTCCAGGGACTAAGGAAGATTTGAGATTTGACTTGAGCTCCCGCCTGTGCCTCTGGGGAAACAGCTGCTTCAGTTAAACTGCTCTGGCCCGGGAAGGGCTGGGCTGAGGCCCAGGGAATCGAGTGCTCTTACGGGGAAAAAAAAAAATCCTTAGGAGTTCATTGACTTTGTCATTCAGGTTTAACTTTTGGCGATTTCTCTTGCTTTTACTCGTCTACTTATTTTTGAGAAGGGAGCAGGGATGAAGAAACTGCTTTTATACAATTGAGGGCGGAAGGGTTTGAACTAGAATCTGGAGTCGTTCTTTTCAACTCTGAGGCCTCCAAGTGGGTGCAGTGGGGTGAGCCTCCGCAGTTATTTATGATGGTGGTGGGCCCCAGTTTGGCCTGGCGGGCAGTCCCTTGGAAAGCAGAGGTGGCAGGAAGCCCACCCGGGGCTCTGTAGCTGACCCCACCCTGGGAGGGAGAGACAGAGAGCGTGATTTAGACGTGCTCGCAGGGCTAAGAGTGAAGTGGACGGTGCAGGCGCTGAACACAGCTCGGCGGGCTAGCGCCTACTGTCAGCGGGGAAGCAGGCGTCTGCTCAGACAGTGGGAAGGTGACGGAGCGTTGTTATTGGAGACACCGCCAGGAAAGAACTCACCTTCTGGCGTGCTTTTGGCCCAGCCTGGAGGGGACAGCAGGTGCCTAGGTGTTTGGTTATGGTTAAGATGGGAGATAGCTGCTGAGGTTGGGAAGGGAACCAAACACTCCCTTGTGCCAAAAAAACAAACAAAACAAAAACCTCAGCTACTAAATGGGAGGGAAATTTGAGACTTAAACCAAAATAACTGGACAGTGATAGGCCCTTTCTCTTTTATCTCTCCCCCCATCCCCCTCATTGGTTAGAGAGAGTGGAAGGGAAGGATGGAGTCGGGGGAGAAACATGGATGTAAGAGAGACACATGGATTGGTTGCCTCCTGAACATGCCCTGACCAGGGCCAGGAATTGAACCTGCAACCCTTTGGTGTCCGCACTCCCCGCCCCCCGCCCGCCTGGGGCCAGGTGATGCTCTAACCACTGAACACACTGGCCAGGGCCCCTTTCCCTTTTGAACAAATGAGGTTACTCTGGATCTTACTGGACCCTCCCTGAAGGCCTTTGCTAGTGATCTGACAGGGAGGGCGATGGTGGCGGCCTCAGATCAGCCATCGCTGATCTACAAGGACTAGAATCCAACATTGCTGGCGATTCGATGCCCCAGGCCTTTCCCACAAAGCTGCCCTTCGTTTTCTTCCCCAAGGATTACAGGTACAGGATGTGTACCTAGTAACACGGCCTCCACTCGGCTCGATAGGGAAGCTCCTGTGTTTCTTTGGCTTCTGCCCTTAGGAGAAAATTCTAGGAGTGTGCCCCAGATCCAAGAAGGGGTGCTGTGTCTTCAGAGTCCCCTCTGCAGCCTGGTTAAAGAGAACCCCGGATACTGTCCTCAACCCCTGGCTTCAGGCTCCGTGCCAACGCCCACAGGCCCAGGACAGCAGCTCCCCTCTGAACGGCAGAGCTGTGTTGACTTGTCAGCGTCTGAAAGCCCCCTGCCCCCCACCCCCCCCCCCCGCCGGGGCCAGCTGGGGGC